TTTTAGTTGAATTTATGAACTGTTACAATTGACCCCGTAAGGGGGGACAATTGTAACAAGTACACGACTGTCAAAAATTGTTAATATAATAACATTTAAAATAAGGTATTTTTTTCTAGTAGAGGATAGTCTACTTTACTCGTCTGTCAATTAATACTAATAATATATTGGATTTTTTGTTAGTTAAAAATAGTTAAGTAAAAAATGCTGCAATTGACCCCACTCTCCCCTGCTCTAATATACTGCGCACCATCACACAAATGCACTCAAAAGATAAAAAAAATCGATTTACAGTAAAATATTGATCATACATTATCAAAATATCACGATAATGAAACTGCAATATCAACCAGCACTTTTGATTACCTTTAAAAGTGAAATATTTTTTTTCAAAGAACTCTTCTTAATTTTATGTAATATCACACACATTTCCCATTTGAAAGGTAAATAAAAATAGGTATATCAAGAAATTCTGATATTTTGCAGCGATGTATCACGATAATAAAACATGGTTGCCTATCAGCAGTGCTTATTATCTATTGAAGTTAAATATATTACGTTTTTTTAGAATCTTCTGAAATTTAATCTACTTCTACACAAATCTGCCGTTCCGAAGTTAAAAAGGTCATTATATTGGGAAATATCGATCCTTTCTAACGATATATCGTGATAATAAAACTCTCGATCATAAATAATAAAACTCCTATTTCTTCCGGAATAACTTAGTACCTTTATAAATAAAATTCATTTAATTCATTTATTCATTTCCCAAGAATTCTCCTCAATTTTCTTTACGTCAAGGAAATTATTCCTTCGAACGAAGCAAGAAAAGATTCGGTATTCTTTAATTATAAAAAAATAGACAAATACAGTCAAACCCCACCATAGTAAACATAGTTTATGGTGAACTCCCGGATATAGTGAACTAAATGTTCGCTCCTGTGCCTTGCTATACACATATAATAGTATTTTTCGTGGACATAGTGAATCACAAGAAGCGAGAATTTTATATTATGAACTTTTTTCTCTCTTCCTCTGATTTTTTTTCGTAATTTTTAGCAATTTTGAAATTTCTACATAAAATACATATGTGTGATTCTTTCTAAACATGACAATTCGGACCAAAAAATTTCTCCAAATTTAAAATCTTCAAAATAATCTAAAATTTTTTTTGTATACTTCTTTAGTTATTAATATTATAATAACTTATTAATATCTTACAGGCAGCAGTGTAGTTTATTGATATTTGCTAGAGAAAAAAAAAATAAAATAGAAATTCACCAAATCTTGAATGCCAGAAAAATGACATATTAGCTTAGAAGTTTAAAAAACAGTCATTTTAAGTTAATAGTAAGTAACTCAACTTAGGCCTTTAAATTAGATGGACCATTCTTAAATTAATTCTTTTTATCCACTGTAGGAAGAATCAAAAAAAAATTTTTTGCTGATATGTACAGAATAAAATTGTGTTAATAATCAATCTCTAGATAAATAAATAACTTTGATTACACTCAAGCATATTACAATCATACATAAACTTGTTATTAGGTTAATATTTGCTTTCCCTCCTTACAGTATTAGCAGTTAAAAAAAATTTGGTAACACTTTAATGTTCCGGCATTCATAAGCCAGGAAAATGACAGCCAGGATAATGACAAATTCGCCTTTTTATAGCACATAACTTTACTTTAATTTAATATTTTGACCTAAGACTTTTATATTCTTCAGAGAACAACAGAATTTCTTAAAATAACTCAGATAAATCTATTTAGTTTATGTTATTAATGATTTCAAGAAGCCAGGAAAATAACAACACAAAAACCTACTCACCTTGAAAATTTCTTTTGAAATAGATTTTGAACCAGAAAAGTGGTTCTTTATTCAAGCAATAAGACATGTTCATATAGGAGGGCATCTAATCAATCTAGTAACATAAGATATTGATTGCTGCCTCTATCTATTTTGGTTATAAACCACTAAATAAAAGTAGCCAAGAAAATGACAGATTTTCTTGGGACAAACAAATCATTGACAGAAAAAACTATTTTATACGAATTTTTTGTAAATAATACCCTCTGCGTATATTCTAGAAATGCTTATACCGGTTGAGATAAAAAAAAATTAGATATTGAAAAATTTATCGGAAGTTTTGAAGCTAGTTATTATTGGAAACATTGTTTGGGACATACCAGGAAAATGATGTTTTGAAGTTCAATTAAATTTTTTAACTATACAAGACAGTCAATGCTAGTGCAAAGTCATTTCAAAATGCTAACAGCAATGTTATTTATTAATTTTTTTTTAAAAAAAAGTTCTTTTAGTATTACAGTATTAGATCTTGGAGCAAGAGACAGTGAATTGTCATATTTCGTGAGAATCACCCATATACCGATTTTTAAAACCATCTATTAAGTGAAATGTAGCCATAAGCATTTTTTCTTGTTTGCTTCTTTTATCTCAGTTTCCCATCCTTAAAGTTATTTTGTACGCAAGACGATGAGTAATAAAAAATAAAAGTTAACACATTTTCTGTCACTACATATTGTTCTTTAATCATTTTTGTATTTCTTTTTATTTGTCATTTATTTAAATAATGTGTAATAAAAGGGAGCAGTTCGGAAAAATTAGTTAAAATTGCTTCCAGTATGAATATAGTGAACTCCCGGTTATAGTGAACAGAAATTTCGGTCCACTGTAGCGGGGTTTGACTGTAGTTACTAAAAACAATCTATTAGATTATCGGAATTATAATTGTACTAAAATAAAAAAATCCCCAAAATAGTATTTGTAAATTTTTTTTTACATTCACATTCAAAAATTTATCAATAATTGATTTAGCAAATTAAAGAAATTACAATGATGAATAACTATTTCTCTTAAATCTATATAACTGCAAATAAGTGTAAATTGGAAAAATTATTGTTTGAAAGATTTTACCTTTAACGCAAAAGATACCGGTGCTTCATGTTGTATTTCATAACCATAAAATATTAAAGTGCTACATATAACATTTTTCACTTATTTTGACCTAAATTAATATAAAATAATATAAAAAATATGAAAAATAAGTTTAATAAAAGTTTTGAGTCTATGGGTTAAAAGGAAAAAAAAAACAAGAAATTTTACAATATATACTCATTTATAAATCATATACAAGATAATTAATAACAGTTGCTTTAATTACACTGTGGTGTCTGTTACAAGTGCAAAAGCTTATTTAAATTTTTTTGTAAAAAAATATATATATATATATAACAGCTTTAATACCAAACGTTTAAATTACTATACATAGTGGGTTAGAAAAACTAATTTATTTATTTTTTTTAAAAATAAATAAATTATTTCTTAAATTATTCTGTTATTAAATTTCTTTCCTCTTTAATTTTTTCCCCATTTTTCCTAAAAACTAATTAACTAAACTAGAAGCTAACCGAAGTAGTTAATATTAGTGAGTTTTAAGGTTCTACTCTCCAGAGAGTGCTTTTCATAAAGTTTTATTATTAGGTTTTAGCTAGTTCATGTTGTTCAATTTTTCTTTTCAAATTTCAGGAAGAAAAAAAACATTCAGCACATTTACTTCAAAAAAATTACTCTGTATCTTGCTAGTCCTCGCACATAACTCTTGACTATATTTTTTTTCCTTCAACCCATACAAAAAAAATAATTGCTTGGAAGTTTCTATTAGTAAAAAAATAACTAAAAAACTATTTTGTTATGACTCTGCGAAAGCTGATTTTAAATTTTTTTGCCCTTAGCAAGTTGTTAGTTTTTTTTCGATGGTTCGCTGCATAACTGAACCGAATATAGTTGTTTTAACTGAATCACTTAAATTTTAAAAAAAGGCAAAGGCTACTAACCAAATCTAGCTAATGATGTACAAAAGTCCAGATTTATGAGCATTAAAACTGACCAAGTTCACGCAACACCTCCTGGAAGAAAGAAGATCTCAGCCCGGATCAATTTAATAGTCCGACGTAACGAACATAAACTGCGCAGTGGATGAAAAATAAGAAAGATGCGGGCTACTAAGCTGTACAGTGGTGATAAATACTAACGATGTTATTACTCTTGGACTACTGAAGAATCATATTTCTTGCTTATGTTAACCCGTGCTGAGGCCTTCTCTTTTCGAGGAGGTATTGGTTCAAGCATGTTCGCACGATAGCCGCGGAACTCAGTTCATTGCGGATACTAAGGTGTTTAGGCTATATTTTTTAAATAAAAATGTTAAAAATACAAAACAACCACATACTGTGAAACCTCTAAATTATATAAATTTTAATCAGTATATACATTATTATTTGATTAACATACATTTTAATACTACTTGCATTTGGATATTACATTTAGAACAAAATAATGATCGAAATTTTCCTAAATTCATTTAGGTCTATATTGCAGTTTTTCGAAAAACAGCAGTTTTAAGACACAATTTTGAGCAAAATTTTTTTATTCTTTCCTAAACTAATAAATGTGTTATTTCCAAATTAAGATATTTTAATCCAAATAAAGAAATTTTATTCCAAATAAAAACAGTTCCAAGACACACTTTTGAGCAAACCTTTGGCAAACTTATAAAATTTGTTATTTCCAAATAAAGATATTTTAATCCAAATAAAGAGATTTTGCTCCAAATAAAGACAGTTCTAAGACACAATTTTGAGCAAACCTTCAGCAAACTAATAAAATGTGTTATTCCCAAATAAATATACTTTAATCCAAATAAAGAGATTTTGCTCCAAATAAAGACAGTTCTAAGACACAATTTGAGCAAACCTTCAGCAAACTAATAAAGTGTGTTATTCCCAAATAAATATATTTTAATCCAAATAAAGAGATTTTGCTCCAAATAAAAACAGTTCTAAGACACAATCTTGAGCAAACCTTTGGCAAACTAATAAAATGTGTTATTCCCAATTAAACATACTTTAATTCAAATAAAGATATTTTGCTCCAAATAAAAACAGTTCTAAGACACAATTTTGAGCAAACCTTTGGCAAACTAATAAAGAGTGTTATTTCCAATTAAAGAGATTCAGAAAATGAAAAATAAAATTATTGTAACAATCTAAATAAAATGAAAGTAATATTTAAATGAAATTAAACGATGAGCAATGTCGTTCAACTTATACAGCATAAAAGTGGTTTATCAATAAAATTTACAAAAATTACGCTGATTGTTGTTTTTATCTTCGTACAGTTTCATTAAAACACCACCCTCTCCTGCCTAATTTTTAATGATTATTTAGCTTTACATTACAGCTTTAAATTACTACGCAGCCGGCTTAAACTAATAAGCCACAAAATAATTGCACAGTTTCATAAACCAAAAATATTCTACAGTTCGGTAGTTTGCATTAATAGTTCACTCTTTATATTTTTTAATAAAATACATAACCTCGTGAGGAAAAAAAATCGTTTCAATTGTAGTTTATAAGAGGGATTATATTGTTTGCTCTATAAGATTTCATAAGATTTGCTCTATAAGATTTCATAAGATTTGGTCATAAAATTTGCTCTATGCTTTACTTACTTTGCTTAAATGATGCACCATGAAATGTTAGCTTTATATGATACTTCACCTCAGTAGACAGTAACTTTCAGTTTTTAAAGTACACCCAGAAGACTTAGCCATTTTTGAAACCTGCAAAAGATAATGATGTAATTCAACATATTAGATGGTATGGACATGAATCAACAAATGTAATAGAGATACATGACAGACGTTATATGGATTAACAATATTACGGATATAACATAATATGGCACATAAGTTTCTTGCCACTCCAAATATACGTCAATTTATTTAGCTGTCAAATGGGATGTATCTAGAACAACCTTTACAACAGCTGGCTTGAGAAACAACTCAACTGAAACAGCCATGCAAAGGATCAAAAGGGTGTACTTGCAGCTCCATGCAAATCTACTTAATGGAATAACTGCAAGTGACATAACGTGGGTATCTCGATCCTGATTGGTTGCTGAAACGTGACATTTGTTTACGTTAGCAACTGTTCTTTCCATTCTATTTCGAGAAAACCAAGCCCGTCTAGTATCAATTCTATTAAGGAGTACATTCTAAATTCTTTCACAAAGAATCTCCCAGAAAGACTTCAGTTCTTTCACTATTTATCTACACAGAGACTTAACACAATGACAGGCACAAAACCAAACTAATTATGCAACGAGGTTGCCAGGTACAGAACAAAAATACATCACGATTACAATAAAATACGAAAGCGAACAATAAATCCAAGTCAAGTAAAAGCTGTAGTTATAGTACATTTACGTCACACTTGAGCTGCACAAAATGCTATTGGCGACGGTCTGAGAAACATCCCTGAGGATGATCCGAAGACATGCCATCACAATTTTGATCCTCTACAGAGGAGATGGCATCCCCGCTTTAGTAGCCTGATGACCTGCACGCGAAGTCAAGTACTTTACGGCAGAACAGGTTAATGAGAAACAATACCGCACACCCTCGGTCCCTACGCAAACTGATCCAAGTGGTCACCTACCCGCACACTGACCGCAGCCAGTGATGCTTGACTTCGGTGTTCTGCTGGGAACCGCGTTTTAACGATCAGTCCGCTTAGATCAAAAATCATTTAAATCATTTTATTCAAAATCATTAAATTAAAAATCCTTTTATGCTTCGAAATATTATTAATTTTTCGTTCTAAATAATTACAAATAATGTCTTATTTAATCTATTCTAATTCATCAACTCAGTGCAAATATTATACACTTAAATTTAATACATTATATATAATAATTAAATATAATTAAATTTAATGCTATAATTAGCTTTTTCTTAACTTGTTCAATTTTAATTTCTAGAAAATGACATCTAAAATAAATTTCATAGAAAATTCCAAAAATACAGATTCTCTCTGTTATTTATGCTCATACTTAATTTACTTATTCATGATCCTACTTACTTAAGTTAAAATATTTCGAATAAAGCACGATATTGATAAATTTTGACCAAAATAGTCGATTAAGTAACTTCAATTAAGTTATCGACTTTGTTTGTGAAAATTTCTGATGCGAACGTGAAAAGTTACTTTTACAAATTACAAAAAATATTTTCCATTTTTTTTTAATATTTTTATAAAAAATCGATTTTTTTTTTAAAAATATTTTAATAAATATTTTCTTGTACTAGCTATTGTACTAGCTTGGAAAAATTTTCTGCATGCTCCCTTGTTTGCCCTTCTTAGGGATCTATTTTAAGCTGTACATATGAGTTTGTATTCCACTTACAACATGAAAATTTCTTTATTTTTTATCTTCATCGCCTTTTCTTCTAATTGTGCTAATATAATAGTTTAAGCAAGACGTCACTGTTTTGTCTCAAAACACAGACGGTCACTGGGTTCTTAAAAATTGAATTCAAGTTCGGAAATTTTGAAGCTAATAAATCATTCCAAAAAATCCTCGTATTTTTCTTCTTTTAAATAAAATAATTCTTACAATCCTGATTCTCCAAAACGTTTAAAATGATTCCTTAATAGAAAAGAAATTATTAATAATAATGCAATTCATTACCCTCCTACAGCATTAAAAAATTTAATTGTGATATTTATTTTCTATTAAATCTTATCCTTGATAATTTGGAGAAAAAAAATCTGATCTAAAATTTATATTTGAAAAAAGATTTCCTTTTACATGTTATGGAATTATATATTTTAATGAAGCATTCATGAAACAACTTAAACTATTTATGACCATACATGGCAGTACTTTTACTTTCGTTACTTGTACCGCCGGTACAAGTAAAANGCCATATATGTTTATGACACAAATCTCAAAGTAAGCAAGCTGAAAGAAAAAGGATTTTCTTCTTCAAAACAGTAAAATTATGCATCTGAAAATCTCGCATTTGCTGTATGACCCCTTCGACGGAGGAAACAGTCAATTACAGCCATTAAATGCCTCCAGACCTCTACAGGAAACAAAAGGGATGTAGCCGAAAAGTTCCATTTGGATGCAGACATTATTAAAATACAGAAAAGCCTCCTCCTGATTCTGCTGCTGCCGTTCTGAGATTGCCTCAGGAGGATCGGATTAAAGAAGGGAAAAAGATGGCATAACTGATCTTGGCAGCAAGATATCACAGTTCCTCTTTCCGGGTAAAAGAGATCTTATTACAGGCTCCAGATTTCGGTAATTCCTTCGCCAACAAACGCCACTTCTGCTCCTTGGCGCAGGTAATTAAGCTGTCTTGTGATAAGCCATACCTGGAAGTGATACGTTATTGCTTTGCCATCAACAATTTAATTCCTGAGACATTTTTTTTTTTGGGGACGTTATCGGGGCCTGTCAAATAAAGCCATTAAAGTTTCGTCTTCTGTTTAACAATCTCTAAAATCTACGGAAGCTGGAATATGGGAGAGATAATTATCGTAAACTTATTTTCAAAAGATAACATTTTTAAATAATCTTTTCGCGTCAATCCACCCGAGCTGGGTGGTAAGATGTCTAATAAAAATGATAATGAAATGTGTTTACATAGACGCACTTTGTAGCAAACTTTGTAGCATTATAAGAACAAAAATGTATGTTTCATTAATCAGGAACACAACTTTTGATTAAATGGTAAAGTAGGATGTGGTATAAGATTTTAAGAAGCGAAAGCTTTCAGATTAATAATAAAAATCAATTACCCGCGAGGGAATATATCAGAATAAAATAATAAGTGAAACATCCGATTATAATTTTAAATAAAACGGCTATTTAAAAAGAGCAAGTATCCAATTTTTCTAAATTTTTTTAGAATTCAATAATTTTTTTTTCGTCTATATAGAGGAATTAAGTAGAGCATATATGTATGTAAAGAGTGCAAAAAAACGGAACGCCCTGAAAAACTTTGATCTAATGATCGTATCTTACATATCGTTGAATCAAAGATCGTATCTTTGATCTAATGATCGTTCCATAACGTACTAGGACTCAATGATTCGAGTGGGTCACCTTAAATATGCTTACTAATTAAAGATGACGATATTTTAAGTTAAAAAAATCTGATACAAAAATGTACTTTCTCTGAATAAACCTACCTTTCTCCGATTGACCCTCAAAATTTAGAGGGTAGCCGCAATTAGGGAAGTATGGTCCTAAAAGTTTTCTCATAAAATCGATTCGACGGTCGGACTCCTTAATGTTTATTTCAGTTTTTGCATATTTCGCTACATTTCGAGAATATTTAAGAATTGAAAAATGTATGCACACAATTATAGACTTCGTTAATCTCTTCATCAGCTCACACGACTATAGCCGCAAAAGGAGTGCTTTCTAATACTGTATTAAAACCAAATCAAAACAAATTAATACAATAGTGTGAGGGGCACTCAAAAAATTTTTAAAACAAAATAGAACACGTTAAGTAATAAATATCACCTAAAAAACTGAAAATAAAATGCAAAGAAAAAACATAAAGCACAAATCTATAACGCGAGTAGCGAATTCATGTGAACTTACATGTACGGGAAAATTTTCAAGAAGGATTTAAAATAAATATTGTCCTAATAAGATTGACAGATTTTGTTATATATATATATATATATATATATATATATATATATATTA